TCCAAGTTTTTGGGCGATTTTTTGTATATCTTACCTTAACCTAGTATTTACCATCAGTCTCATTTCTATACAAACATCAGCATAAATTCTGTAAAATCTGTAAAAATAACATTTCAGAATTTTTACAATTATATCTTCGACATTGAATGATAAACCCAAGAACTACAGTTAATTTAGAGGCATACAATTATAAACAAAATTTAGTGAACATTTTTATCCCCCCCCCTCATGACTTCTGCTCCCCCTTATATTCCTTTTCCCGCCCAACCCCCCTTACTTAGCCTTTGGCCCATACCTACTTTTTCATATTTACCTCTTAACTCTCCCTTTTTACCCTATCTTTCCCATCTTCATTTCTTCCTTTCGAATTTATGTTTCCCTTTCTTCTTTTCCCATATTTTTTCTCCCCCATCACATCCGCCCTTTTTCTTCCCATGTCGGTATTATACAAAGCTAAAAACCACACTTCCCTTCATTAAAGACCCGGATCCCAAAGTTTAACCGGTTCAAACTAATCTTAAGTTTAGTATTTCAAGTTTAAGCAGAGAAAAGCTAAACTTATTCTCGGATTACTTCAGTTAATCAACAGGCTCTGATATGAAATAAGATATTTTTGGTGTAAAGTTCCAGCCTGGGAAATCTAAATCTTGATGTTATGTAGAAACATGCATCTGTTAAGGAAGTTATACAGCTGTTATATACATTGTTAAAAACCAGAAGGAAAAACATCTTTGATATATTTGATGTATATATATATATATATATATATATATATATATATACACAGTAGGAACCAGAAACTATTGAAGACGACTTTTAGGCACAATACTTGGTATTTTATGCCAGAACATTTAATATTGGCCGTATACATAATTTAAATGATTTATTTTCTTTCTTATAAAAACGGAGCTACTGAAAATATATTGATATGTGTAAGCATATTTGGCTACCTGACTGCTATTTGGCAAAAAACTGAAAATTTATTGATATGTGTTAACATATTTGGTTACCTGACTGATATTTGGCCAAAATATATTGATATGTATTAGCATATTTGATTACCTGACTGCTATTTGGCAAAAAAAACTGGAAAACATTTTTTGAAAAATCTTGTAAGTTTGTATAAAAAAAAGAAAAAAAATATACAGTTTCATACTGAAGTCTAAGAAACATTGGATTGGTCGTTTTCACGCAGGAATAATTTACTTCATTCATATTCTTTCATATTTTTATTCAACTACAAAGTATGAGATGTTACAAATAGGCAATCACAATTTACTATGCAGTTTGGATCCACCTAACCAGGGTTGGTTGTTTTGAGTGGTTGGCCCGAAGTTAATTAACGATACTGAATATAATTGGTTACACATATCAAGATATGTTTTTGGAAGGGTAAGGAGTTGATTGGAAGGAAGGAGATTGTCAGGTGATCTGTGGCAGTGTGGATCAGAGGGATTTTAAAGATAATTAAATTTAAAATTTTAACGGTAACGCCAGGCAGTTTTTGTATACTGTGTAAACCAGAAAACAGGAAGACAGAATCAAGTTATTGCTTTAAAAAGTTTAATGAGTCTGAGACACAACATTAATTGTGCAGTTTAACAGACGCATTTAATTAAATTAGTGATTTAATATGTGTCTAGTAAAACTATTTGCTCTGTAACAATAATAAATATTGCTATAATATCGTCCTCCGATTCCAATTTTTTCTCTTTAGTACAAATATTTTTAACAAAAAGTCTTTATCGCCAAAATAATATGGTTAGATAACTATATTTTTATTTTCTATTTTATTAATTCTATGCCTTATAAGGTAATGTGAAGAATCAAGATTTTCGAAAATAACAAATTTTTAAAAATTATATTTATTAATTATCTTTAAAAGTGCCTCATGGAAAGATTTCCAAAGTTTCTTATTCCATAAAATGACCAGTGTTTTTATGCTCTAAAATGTCCTTTAATGTATCCTTTGGAGTCACTAATAGGGCAGGTGTCAAATATACAGGGGTAAACTGCCATCAACAAATATAAATATTTTAAAAATAAATTTTAAAAAAAATCCTTTAAAAAACAAATAATGGAAAAAAGTGTTTCCCCCCCCCCCCCCCATTCATCCCTTTGCTTGTTTAAGTACTACCTTGTTACGTAATTACCTGCAACTTACATGTCCTTGAAGCTCTTGAGAAAGGGGGAGGGGGAGGGGGAGTGGAGAGGAGAGTGTAGAGGGGGAAGGGGTTGACACATGCTACACAAAGACCTTTTTAAGTTTAATTAGATGTGAAACGTGTTTAACACTTCCTGACTTCCCGGGATATGTGCACAGTACAGGGTATGGGATATGTGCACAGTACAGGGTATGGGATATGTGCACAGTACAGGGGTATTGGATATGTACACAGTACAGGGTATGGGATATGTGCACAGTACAGGGTACGGGATATGTGCACAGCACAGGGTATGGGATATGTGCACAGTACAGGAGTATGGAATATGTACACAGTACAGGGTATGGGATATGTGCACAGTACAGGGTATGGGATATGTACACAACAGTAAAGAATATGGGATATGTGCAAAGTACAGGGTATGGGATATGTGCACAGTACAGGGTATGGGATATGTGCACAGTACAGGGTATGGGGTATGTGCACAGTTAGGGTATGGGATATGTGTTAAAAGTTTCGTTGAAAATTACCAAGAATTAAAAATACTAAAATTTTAGAACTAAACTCAGAATGGTACAATTTCTTTCCGTGACGATTAAAGAACTTTATTGTTGTTATTTTTTTATCTTAATAAAATTGTTTCAACGTCACGATTTCAATGCACTAAATTTATCATTTAAAAACGTATAGCTTCCGGAAGACAAAAAAGTATTTGCTTTGTAACACCATCAAATAAACGAGAGTATTGATATAACGTCGTCTTCCTATTCCATTGTTTTCTGGTTATCACTGTAGTGCAGACCTGATTTAAGGTGATCCCCCGTTTATTGAGTGGCATGTCCTATTTGCAACGGTACCCTTGAAATCTGTGCGATACATGATCAAGATTGAATAAGATATCCATGTGTTTAACTTCATTTATACTTCCAATTGTGGTTTCTATATAAAAATGACATTCGGATTTCTGCTAGAGAAACAATGGAGGAAATTGACAGACACTTTTAGGAAAACACCGATCTATTAAATCCACGTTTGATGATAGAAAACAAGTTTCAAAAGTAACATTTTGTTCCTCTCATCTCATATATGAGGCCGTTTAAACTTACAACAGTTCTTTTACAACTAATTAAATAACATAACTGATAATACCAGGGGTCAATATAATTCCCAAAAAAGCTGATTTTCTCGATCCCAAAATAATTTTTTGCCCCCAATTTTAAAAAAAAATGCCCCCAATTTTCAAAAAAATGCCCCCAGTTAAAATTTTTTTTTCAAATTCCACTAAGGTTTCAGCAATAAATTAAAAAACCTTTATCGACATTTCTTAAGTACAGGGTGTCCCAATAAACATGAGAACTGATTTGTTTTATTTAGCATAGTTATGCAAAACTGTAAAATCTATAGTTTAGAATTGTGTTGTTTATGTGTTGATTGATACTATTCTTCCCTAAAATATGCTCTAGCAGATACTATTTTATTATGACCATTGAAATTAGGTATTATACTGATACTTCTTAACAAAGACGAACTTTAATTCGTCAATCAATTCCCATGATTATTGGAAAAAATCAGTCTTAGGAAAAGCAAAGACGACATTGACTCCACAGTTATCATGTTATACACAGGGTAATGTTTTTAAAGGGGTCGAGCACGAGAACAGAAAGCAGAAGAAGAAGGAGGAATAAGATACAAGGTAAACTAACATTTTATCTTTAAGGTGACCCACAAAGGATAAGACTTGATTGCCTAGAACACCCCGGACTAACCAGATGCATTCAGTTTCCTCTATTTAATATCAAACGTGTTTTAGTTTATAATTCCACTATCTTCAAAACTAATTAGTTGTCTGTTTTATAATTTTTCAATTTAAACGCAAATGCCCACAAAAAATGCGAATTATTTATGTTCAATAGATCAAATTGTGATAGAAAGTCTCAGCTTTCTGAAAGAGATCTGTTCCATGGATCCGTTAAATCCGTGTGAGAAATTACAGTTTTGTAAGTTTATGTTTGGTCTTGCATGCTTTATTAGAACTGTTTATGATGAAAGGAACAATAAAAACGGAATTTCAAGTATGTCCGATTCACAAGGGTACCCATTATACCTTGGTTTGATTAAATGAAAGGTCACTAGAAATTGCGTTACCAGTCCCTTATTTTGAATGTTCTAATTTGTTTCTAGATTGAGCAGTATAAGAATATGTTACTACTGGCAGAAGAGTTGAACCTTGAACCACCAAAACCTATTCACCAGTAAATAATGGTTTAACAAACGAAATATGGATGTTTAGAATAACTATATAATAAATATAAATAATTTGTCCGATCATAACTCATGAACCCCTGGACATATTTATCTGAAATCTTGAACCACTGGAATGTTCTCAGACTGGTTAAAAATATTTAAAAAAGTTAAATGTGTTGATCACTCCGAGCAAAGCCGGGTTTCCAAACTAATAAATAAATATTTCTCATCCTTTAATCCTTTGTTAAAGTATGGTACTGTTAACTTATGCATACTTGCAGCCATTTGATAATGCAGCCTTGCAAGCTGCAACCCTTCCACTATTCAATTATGAAACCTTGCAACCATTCAATTATGGAACCCTGCAACCATTCAATTGTGGAACCTTGCAACCATTCAATTATATACACTTGTAATATTTTTATCATGCAACCTTGCTACCATTCAATTATGCAACCTTGAAACAATTTAATAAAGGGAGTGACCGGCTATGTAAGGTAGTTGAACTGAGTATGCAGTGTTGTGGAAAACTTCTTTCGGATTCAAATGAGACATATTAAACTTTTTTAATATCTGTAAATCCTGAGTTTGAGCGCAAATTTGACGGTTTAAAACTCTTACTTTGGGGGGTGGATAAGTTTTCAGAATTATTTTTTTAAAATTATAAAATAACGACGACATAAAATGTAAAAGAAGTTCTACAATAAACTACAGACGTCATGTATAGGAACATGTTGAGAAATTAAAAATTAATCTTATCATCGAAAATAAGTAATCTTGTTCAATTATTAGTTTCTATTTTCTCAATAATTTTTGGTTTCTCATTATTCACAAAGATTTTCTCAGATTTTCTAGAATTATTATTAAAAAGACGACATTTGAATAATTTGAAGAAGATAAGAAATTCAATATAATAATGAAATCGAAATAATCGATTTTAGCATTGATTTATTGACAAATTTCTTTCGAGAAATATGTCCTAGCCATCAAATTAGATTACTGTATAATTTTTACTTTATTTTTCGTTGTCGTTATTTAATAATTAAAAAGAAATAATTCTAAAAAACGTATCCACCCCCAAAGTAGGAGTTTTGGACGTCGAATTTGCGCTCAAACTCAGGATTTACAGATCATTAAAAGGTTTAATATGTCTCAAATGAATTCAAAAGAAGTTGTCCACAACACTGCATTCTCAGTTCAACTACCTTACATAGCCGATCACTCCCTTTAATACAACCTTGCAATTATGTAACCTTGCAACCAACCATTCAATGAAGAAACCTTGCAGCTATTCAATTATTCAATTTTCATTGACCGTTTGATCATAACCATGCAACTATGCACTGACTGCAATTGCAATTGTTGAATTTTGCAAGTTGCATCCTGGTATTTAAGTTTAGTTGCTGGTTGCTGGTTAAAGATAGCAGCTGGCTTGAGATTGGATAAGATATTGAGCACCTGCT